AGGGAGGAGAAACGGAGAGGAGGGAAGGGGCACGAGGAGGGGAGGAGGGAGCAGGGAAGGAGGAGGAGCATGAGGAGGAAGAGGCGGGGAAGAGCAGGGGGAGGCGGGGAAAAGAAGGAAAGAACGAGGGGGGCGAGGAGGGGGGCGAGGAGGAGGAAAGGAGCGGAGCCAGGCAGCCTCGTCGATCTTCTCCTCGCCCTTGTTGACGGCCTCGGACCCGTCCGAGCCGGCGGGGGCCATCAGCATCACGGGGCCAACGACCTGTCCAGCCTCCCTCCATTCCCCTACTCTTCCTCCTCCTCCTCTTCTTTCTCTTCCTCCTCATCCTCCTCCTTCCTTCCTTCCTTCCTTCCCTCCCCCCCTCCCTTCCTCATCCCTCCCTCCCTCCCTCCCCCCCTCTCCCTCCCTCCCTCTCTCCCTGCCTCCCTCCTCCTCCCACCCTCCCTTCCTCCCTCACTCCCACCCTGTCTCCCGCCCTCCCACCCTCCCTCCCACCCTCCCTCCCTCCCTCCGTCCCTTCCTCCCTCCCTTCCCTCCCTCCCTCCCCTCCCCCCTTTTCCACAAAAACACAGTATGAGTACTACTCTCCTCTCTCCCTTGATGACGTCCGGAAGGTATCTGGCCCCCCTCGCTGCAGCACTAGCCTCATTTCCACGCTTCCGCTCGTCCCGAATCGTGCTCCCGCTACAGCGCTGGCGTCATTATTTCCAGCGCCATGCCACGGCATGGTTGACGGTCCTTCCAAATAGGCCCAAAAATCTTCAAAAAATGCCTAAAAAAAACCATCGGAAGTGATTGCAATATCCGGTGTCGATTCGCTGAATCTTGGGGCCGCAGAAGCCCCCCACCCACTCTGAGGCGTCGCCACGCCATCCTATGTCACGTTACGCGTATCATCAACAACATGCTATGCCATATAATGCTATGCCATGCTACGACATCCGATTGTGCGAATAGAGAGGGGATCTACGCCATGGTAAGGGAAGGAAGGGAGGGGTAGGACGTCAGATATGACGCGAAAGCACGTAGCTTGCCTCTCCCCCCTCCCTCCCCTCCCCTCCCCTCCCCTCCCCCTCCCCCCCTTCCTCCCTCCGTCCCTCCCTCCCTCCTCATCTTTTCCTCCTCCTCCTCCTCATCCTCCTCCTCCTCCTCCTCCTCTGCCTCCTCCTCCTCCTCCTCCTCCGCCTCCTCCTCCTCCTCCGCCTACCCTCTCACGGCGGCAAACCCACGGGGGAAGCGAGAATGGGCAGGACTTCTCGGAAGCCCTCGCGCCTTCTCAGAAACCGTCTGCGTCTTCGAAAGAGTTCCGAACCCTTTTCACAGGCTAGATGTCGCATAAGCCTCCTCAGAACTTGCCGTCGCTCGGACGTCCATTTCCCGTGTATTCTTCGGTTTCGTGCGTGTTTTTTGTTGCTCGATGGTCCAGGATAATCCTCTATGGTTCTCGCCGAGAACCTACGCGGATCCCAGAACGCACGGCGGCAGTGCCCGGAGCGCACTGGGGAGGGGGGGGAGGGGGGCGTTACGTCATGGGGGGGCGAGCGGGGGCCATGACGCCCGTCATGCCCCAAGCAAGAAAGAAACGGGCTTTAAGGCCAGCGCGGGCGAGCCGGAGCCCTCAGGGAACGCTGTCTAAGTTGGCATGTGGAAGCTATGGAGGGGAGCGCGCATGGGGAAGGTGCTCCTGATCCGGCGTCGGTGTCAACGTGGTGTGGTCGCAGGTGGATACTGGTAGCTGATCGGGATTGTCGGTCGACTGTTGGAGGTCGACATCTGGAGACTGGGAATCAGAGACTGGAAGGTGGAAGTCGAGGAGTGGACAGCGGAGGTCGCAAATTGCGGTTTGACATCCGGTTTTCTGCTGAGGCTTGGAGGTCGAAGGCTGGAGACTGGGAGTCGGAACGTGGAAAGTGGACGTTGTAGTGCGGAAGGTTGCGATCGTGAGTCGAAGCTGGAGGTCGGGTGCTGTGGTGGGATTTGGTGTTTGAATGCTGGTGACTGGGAGTCGGAGGCGGAAGGTGGAAGTTAGAGTGCGGAGGGTCGAGCTCGAAATCCAAAGTTGAAGCTGGAGTTCGGTGGTCGCTGTTGGGAGTTGGAGATCGAAGACTGGAGACTGGGGGCGGAGGTGGAAGGCGGAGTGCGGAAAGCGGACGATACAATTGAGGCTATAGGTCGGGGGTGCTGCTGGTCGGAGCTGCAAGGCTGGAGGCGGAACGTGCAAAGTGAACGCAGAGGACGTAGGAGGATGACGTAGAGGAAGAGGATGAGAAGGGACGACGACGACAACGAAGACGACGACGACGACGACGACGACGACGACGACGACGACGACGACGACGACGGCGACGACGACGGCGGCGGCGGCGGCGGCGGCGACGGCCGCGGCGGCGGCCACGGCCACGGCCACGGCCACGGCCACGGCGGCGGCGACGACGACGGTGGCGGCGGCCTTGAGGCCATCGGCCTCCTTCGTGCCCTTCGGCCCGGCAGCCTCGACCACCTGGCGCGCGCGCTTGCCCCGCTCGCCCAGTCGTGACAAACAGAAGGGACGAGGAAGAGAAGGAGCTAGAATGGCCGGGGTTAAAACTCGTACGAGAGACAGCATGGCGGCAACAAAATGTACATTGCGGGGCTTTTACTCGTCATAGGGTTGTTCGATAAATGTCAACGCTCGGGCCAAGCAGCGGTGGCCCCTCCTGTTTGAATCGGGATTGCGCGGGCGATCGAAGAGCTCTGGCGGAAAAGAGAGACCAAAGGAAGAAACGAGAAAGAGCTGTCCAACCAAAACCACATTGTAGATTCGGCAGGGAAACACCGTTGCTGTCTGACCCGACAGGAGCGCGCATAGGGGCGCGGGCTCATCCACCGCAATGGCGAGCTGCCCCGCGCTCTTCACAACGGCCCTGGAGGAGCCCACACGCGTGAGTAGCGAGTGTGTGAATTACTATGTGCCCATTATGTGGTGTTGGTGACCTCGGGCCGCAGACGTGACGTCTGAGAGCTTGTCCTAAGACTTCAACGAGATGATGGCCCCAGGATCACGGGAGTGGCGACGTGGAGGTGTAGTGCCTTGACGTGGTACGTGGAAGAAAATGTAATGGATGGGGATAGACCTGAAGAGATGTGCGCGCTGCTTCGGCACTATCGCCTCGAGGCTTCACCGCGGTCACGATCCGCGGCAGCCGCTCCGATCACGACCACCGTAGACGACCTCCTCGCCAAGCGTGCCTGGCTGAGCACTGCCCCTGGGCGAGGGCGGCTGCTGTGGTTCGTCGCCGCTGGCTGGCGCGCTGCCGCTCGACGTTTTTCCCAGCCCTGCGAATATGATGACTATTCTTCTTATGGTTGATATAATTCGCATTATTATTCGCATTATGTTTCTCCTTCTGCGCATTATGTTTCTCCTTCTGAGTAATACGAATACAAGTATTATTTCATAGTAAGGTTAATACTCTTACTACTAGTCTCATGATGTGTTGTATTAATCATATTAGTGGAATGCTGATTATTATTGGCCGTATTATTAATATTAGTCGTGTACTTCCTATTGCTATTATTGTTCGTCTTCTTCTGAATATTGTTAATAATGTTGTTACGATTACCATTACATGTCGTATTCTCGTTGAGAAGGTCGGCGGGCTCGTCCATCCTGAGCTCGTTGTTATGTTTGTTATTGCGCTTGCCCTTGCCAGCTATCACCGCAGCGCGCCTTCGGGAGCCGATGGGCGCCACGGCCTCCGCCCTTGTTTACGGCCTCCGCCCTTGTCCAAAACGGGCGCGGAATCGACAGGCGAAGCAACGTCGGTCTCCAGGCCGAACCGTGACCCCGGCTGACCTCGTCGTATTCAGCATCACAAGACGGCGATTGGGGCTGATACTCTGGTGAAGGGTGACGACGAGGTGGAGTGCGCGGCACTCGCTCACGCGGAGGTGAAAGGGAGCGCACTGCACGCGGCGACAGCTCCGCCAGCCACTTGTGGCCAGGCGAACGGCGCTTGGACGATGGTGCACCGAGCGCCGCACCGTCGAGCTCAGCCAACCGATCCTGACGGAATCCGGGCCAGGACCCCACGTTTGTCAGCGTCTAGTAATGCCTGCATTCGTCTCGCTGCTGGGGGCTCTAGACTCCAGAAATTGTCGAGCTTCGTCGTGAACATCACGAGCGCGATGCCCAGCGGGATGTTCGCACACGTGTGCCTTGGATCATGTGTCCAACCGTGGATTATCCGCGCTTCGAATGCGCATCCTGTACGAAGCTCGGGATCCATCACGCTAGCGCTGAACAAGATGCGACGGAGACCTGCTCGGGCACGGGAGCCCGTGATACCGCAAATTGCGCACGAAATTCGCAATCACCTCGCGGCGAACGGCTGAGCGTCCAGCGAGAGCGCCGTTGCCGGCACTTCTGGAGGAGGTGGCGCACTTGGCCCCTCTCGGTGCCATCGCGGGCGCCTCATTGGCAGGCATCAGCCGCGAATGAAACATGGCTGCCGTGATGCGTCTGCGCCAAGATGTTGGGCGCGACAGGGAACAAGAAAGGCCTTGAGCCTGAACGTGGCATTGTGAAACTCATGACGTCAACACTACACGCCTTGTGTCGTTGAACTGCTGCAACCGTGCGATGTATTCACAAAGACAGCCAGCACGATCGCACACGTACCGAAGCACGGCGCTAGCCCAGGATGGAGCCTCGCAGTCATGCCCGACGCGAAGCTGCGGCCGGTGCCTGTGGGGTTGCGATGGGTCAAGCGACGTCGTTGCGCCCCTGTGGGCGATTCGCTCCTCATCGCGGTTACGCCTTCTGCTGTTGCCCTCGCAGTCGGACCCGGTGTCCAAGGCGAACTGCCGGTTGGCTTCCAGAACAACCATACGCACAGGTTGCTCAAAGAATGGAGGGTGGTGCCAATGCGGAGGTGGAGTTAAATGCGAATGTGCGTCCACACTACACTCTTCGCACGTTCCGTGGATCGCGAGCTGGGGGGGTGAAAACTGTACGAGAGAAAGCATGGTGGTACTAAGATGTAGATTGCGGGGCTTTTCCTCTTCACACAGCAAAGAAGTATGCGTCGACGCGTGGGCCAAACAGCGGCATTCCCTCCAATTCTGGTGAGGAGGAGAAGGAAGAGAAGGCGGAGGAGGAGGAGGAGGAGGAGGAGGATGGAGAAAGAGGAGGAGGAGGAGATGGAGGAGGAGGAGGAGGAGAAGGAGGAAGGAGGAGAAGGAGGAAGGAGGAGGAGGAGGAGGCCGACAGGAAGATAGCAGGTTGAGGAGTAGGAGGGAGGAGGAGGGACGAGGGTCGGGGGTCGAGGGGGAGGAAGGAGGATGAGGCCCATAAAAAGATAGGAAAGAGGAGGAGGAGGAGGAGGAGCGAAAGCAGCGAGGACGAGGAGAGGAGGAACAGAGGAGGAGACGGAGGCGGAGGAGGAGGAAGGAGGAGGAGGAGGAGGAGGAGGAAGAGGAGGAGGGTGGGAGGGAGGGAGGGAGGGAGGAGAGGGGGAAGGGGAGGAGGAGAGAGGGAAGGAGGAGCAGGAGGAGGAGGAGACGGAGGAGGATTGAGGAGGAGGAGCAGGAGGACGAGGGAGGGACGGAGGGAGGGAGGGAGGGAGGGAGGGAGGAGGAGGAGGAGGAGGAGGAAGGCGGAGGGAGGGAGGAGGGAGGAGGAGGAGGAGGAGGAGGAGGAGGAGGGGGGAGGGTCGAGGCTCGAGAACGAGGTCCGAGGCTCGAAGCTCTGGACAGCGGTTGCTTCCCCTTTTGCACCTCCTGTGGCGCCCTCGTCGCCACGACTGGGTCCGCCTCGACAGTCTGGCCCGAAAGCACCCCGCGATGGGGTCCGAGTCTTGCAGCGTTCCGACGCTTTTCGAGCGTCGGGGTTACTTCCAACAACTTCGGCTGGACAAGAGCTTCCAAAAACGGCGGCGGTAACGCCCCCGATTGGCCTTCCGTTCTCCGTGGGCCCACTCATGAGAGGCCGCGTTCTGGTCGAGCTTCTACACTGACCCGGAGGCAGCGCGAAAATCAAAAAAGCATGGCGACCATCGGGGCCGTTTCTGGCAACGGGGCCATCGAATAAAAAAACAATATGCGACGACTATGCCGCGAAGATGCGGTCGAAAGAGCATTACCCCCGTCCCCAAGACCAGCCACCCCGAAGGATCACCAGAACCGTGACCGTGGGGGGCACAGCCTACCCGTCGAGCCAACGTCTGGCAATCTGGCGAGTCGCAAAGAAACGAAACCTGAGTTCACCGCATGTCAGGCTTGGATTTCCCGTTGGTGCCGCCCGTAGCGACATCTAAGAAACACCGAACCTCTTTCGAGCCGAAGGTGTCCGTTATTCCAACCCCTGACTGCGTTCATCGATCTGCGAACCCATGGTAATGATACAAGGTAAGGGCGCGGGACTCATAGACGTTATGTAGAAGCAAGTGCAATGGCATCTGGAACAAACAAATGTGGCTGAGCACGGGCCGAAAACGTGTGAATGCAAGAGCAGCCTTGAGAAAGCACGACGTACTTACGATATACTCATACATGCACGTACAAGTTGACTGCACATCATGCCCACTAACAGGAAGAAATCGAGCTCACACGCTTGGGGGCGCTCAAAGGTAGCCTTCTGAGACAGCTTCTGTGGATCTCTCGGGAGGGTTCCTGAGAAGCCTCCTCGCTCTCTGAAAAGGGCCGCTCGCCCGTCGTGCCCCCTCGACCAGAACACCTTGTCAAGATCCGACCATGGCCGCCATGGCTCCTTTCAGGGTCCCTCCTGGCCTGTTTCGTTCGAGCTTTGCCCAGCCACGGCGATGAGAGCCTCCAGAAACGCCCACAAAACCTTCGAAGTGGCAAGGACGACGTCGAAGCCGACGCCCCTCTCTCCCCTCCCTCCCCTCCCTCCCCTCCCTCCCATCCCTCCCCTCCCTCTCCCTTCCCCTCCCCTCCCCCTCCCTCCCTCTACCTCCCTCTCCCTCCCTCTACCTACCTCCCCCTCCCTCACCCTCCCTCTCCCTCCCCTCCCACCCCTCTCTCCCATCCCTCCCATCCCTCCCTCCCCTCTCCTCCTCCTTCCCTCCCTCCCTGTCCCTCCCCTCCCTCCCTCCCCTCCCCTCCCCACCCTCGCCCCCTCCCCCCCCCCTCCTCCCTCCCTCCCCTCCGTCCCTCCCTACCCTCCTCCGCTCCCTCCCCTCCCCTCCCCTCCCTCGCCCCCTCCCCTCCCTCCTCTCCCCTTCCCATTCCTCTCCTCCCTCCCTCCTCCGCTCCCTCCCCTCGCTCCCTCCCTCCCCTCCCTCCTCCTCTGTGTTATTCTCGTTAGTTTCTCTCTCTCTCTCTCTCTCTCTCTCTCTCTCTCTCCCCCCCTGTATCAGTTTCTCTCTATCTCTCTATCTCTCTCTCTCTCTCTCTCTCTCGTTATCTCTCTCCCTCTCTTCCTCTATATCTCTCTCTATATATATATCACCCCCATATCTCTTTATATCGTTATATTTCTCTCTACATAGATGTAGATAT